TTTTGGTTTGAATTTAGAATTTAGGGGATTAATGAGCTGTTTTCTAAACAACCTTAAGAGAGAAGTTTTTTAGATATTACCATGGTTCTTGTTTGGTAAATGTCTATTGATGGATGTCTTGGACTTTTGGGTACAAAGCTCACTTATTTGGCCAAACTGTTTGGTAACCTAATGTAACAACTGTCTAACTCTCTGTGGTGCCCTTGTGATGATAAACATGGAAAAATGGATTTATTTGCCAATTCTCAATTTTTGGTATTTAACAACAGCTATAATGTAATTAGGCAGCAGACTTCTTATTTTCTAGTTAATGTCTTACAGTCTTACTCCATGGAAATAAGAACGCAGGTTCTCATCTGTTCTTATAACAAATTCTCATGGTAAAACTAAAAGATTTTGGTTCTCAAATATTCAGCTATTGTCCAAATGTGAGGTAAATTTTGCTGTCCTGTTACCATGACTAAATGTTCTATACACATATTCAAGTTAAACTACACTTTTCAAGCTTGCAAATCCATTGGCAAGTATGTACGCTTTGATTGAATCCCATTAAAATAATGATATGAAAAACATTATGTTTCATTCACATCAACAATATTTTTTTATTTGAATCTTTCTAGTGCAGATTTACACTTTAAATCTTTGATTTACTACTTTTATATTACAAGAGTGAAATCTAAAGGATTATGTTAGTTTCTTGTCATCTTAGTTTCTCCCTATCTAGTGCTTCTGATACACTAGAGTACCCCATCCTTGGGAGCTGTTTACCTGTTAATATACATGGCATTTTATCAGAGTTTTGACTAAATTCTTTCCATACAGGTATTTAGAGCAGCTGAAGTACCCATCGAATGGAAAGAACACTATGTTGGAGACCAAGTAGACCCTCGAACCCAGAGTTTTCTAAATTGGGAAAGTTTAGAATCAGTTTGCCGGAATAAGGTAGGCTTGAAAGGTCCCATGGCTACGCCAATTGGAAAAGGTTGTTGTTCTCTGAACCTTACTTAAGGAAAGAACTTAATCTGTATGCCAACGTCAGTCCTTGTTACAGTCTCCCTGGCTATAAAACTAGTTATGATGATGTAAATCTTATTACTATTCGTGAAAACACAGAAGGGGAGTACAGTGGACTTGAACATCAAGTTAGTTTGTTTTTACAGGATCCATAAACATCCTAGCACATATGCAGAGGAAACAAATTAGATACTTGTTTTCTCCTTTGTGCTAGGTGGTGAGGGAAGTTGTTGAAAGCCTAAAGATCATTACTTGTCAGGCAAGTTTACGAGTGGCTGAATAGGCTTTTCACCATGCTAAGACCCATGGTAGAGAGAGAGTTTCAGTGATTCACAAAGCCAACATTATGCAGAAAACTGATGGTCTTTTTCTCAAGGGATGCTAATATACATTGTTGAATTTATTGTAATTGTTTCCCACAGGATTGCTTACTAAGTGTGGTTTAATTTTCACTTCCAGTGTTGCCGCGAGGTTGCAGGGAAATATCCTGAGATAACATATGAGGAAGTTGTCATTGACAATTATTGTATGATGGTATTAAAGCTTATCTTTATTGCAGAGTATTTTTTTTCTCTATCTACTTAATGGGGTTATATATGGGCTTGTTTGGGTTTTCTGTTGCTCTTTATGGGAAAAAAAATAATAATTACTTGTTGATGCATGTAACTCCATTGACAACTTCTATGGAAGTAAAAACTCAAAATAACAACAACCACAAGTTTCACTGCCCACAGCTTGTGAAGAATCCAACACTTTTTGATGTATTGGTGACGCCTAACCTTTATGGTGACATTATCAGCGACCTTTGTGCTGGATTGATTGGGGGATTGGGTCTAACACCAAGGTAAATGTACATCGTTTATAATCAGTAATTGTTACATACATCCTCTTATTTGACGGCATGACTTCTTGTGCAGTTGCAACATTGGTGAGGGTGGAATATTACTAATTGATGTTACCCCTGCACCAAGGACCCTCCACCCTTGGACCTTTGCAAGCAATTTTACTAGTTGATGTTACCCCTTTTGAAAATTTTCTAATGAAGGATATAGTCATGCACATCCATTTAATCTTTCTTTAGTAGAATTATAAATGTTTTTTTTTTTTAATTAGAAACTTCGGAAAAGTAGTGGTCTTGATTAATAAGGAAAAATATAATATTCTTAATTTAAAAAGTTTTGTATAAAATCTCTAACTTTTTTATATAACTTTTTATATTATTCAAGGGTTGGCTCTTTTTTAATTTACTCAGACCTTTGATAGTGTAATCATTTAACATTTAATGACATGCAAGTATTGTAAATAAAATTTATATAAATGAATTATTCAATATATCATTACTCTTTACAAAAAGAACTTATTAAATTAGCTAGTTTATATTTCTTATTAAATTATATGTTGAGGGAAATAAATGAATTGAATTAACTCCTTCGAAAATCCAATTATAATACATGCAGACCCGCAGGTCTTATCCCCTGTA